GTGATACAACCATGAGACTAAATGGAACAGGAAGATTCCAAACTAAACCTGAAGCAGTGTAGTCTGAGAGCAGAAAGAGGAATCATTTATTCAGGAAGCTCACAGCGTGATCGGAGCAGACAGAAGCCACAAAGACAGCTGCCATGTTCTCTGTGCCTGCACTCTTTTTTTTATTTTTTTAAAATCTTGACTGTGTTATCAGAGGTTTATGTTAACATGCGCTCATTGAGATAGAGGGGGGCACGTTATTTGAGCACACTGAGTGATTTGTATATACCTCAAACTTCACTGTGCTGTTTTCTCCTCTAATCGTCTCTGTCAGATTACATTCAAGCACCAGGCATGCATTTGTCATCTCATTATATTATCCATGCTCTCATGGCAGCCTTGGAGTCTGGCTCATTATTCTGGATCTGCCCACACACTTGATAAAGCCTGCAGATCCATAACAACAATGTATTAGCACTTAATTTCTGCTGTTGCTGTTTACACAGCCGCACACCTGAAGTACTTGTAAATATTCAGCCACAATCACTATGGCTTTTTGCCAGTTCAACAAAAAAAAAATTTTTTTAATTATTTTTTTAATCATGTGCTGCCATGTTATGTGAAACAACATAAGCAGAACGAAGCAGTACTAATTGGTTGAATAATAAGGAACAGACAGTGCCAAGAATGATGTTGACCATCATTTTTATCATTTTTATAGGATTCTGCCCTTCAATGTTTTGTTATTTAGAAAAACAATGTATCCTGTTAACATGATTTGTCATCAAAATATTACTACATGTACAGAAGACAACTTGTGTCTGGTAGTCAAAGTGTTCGGAGCTGCTGCAAAAGACGCTTCCTCTAGTGTGTAATTGTAGGACTCGTGTCTGTCTCCAGTGGGGCCGGAAAACAGCCTGTGTTCTGTCTGAACAACTAATACTGACTTTATCTCAACGTTCTTATTTCCACCCTTTCCAATGCTACAAATCATCCATGCAAGGCAAATTGTGTTGTCACTGCAATAAAAACAATTGATCAATTGTTCACCCAAAAATGAATAAAATTGTGTAATTTACTGCCCCTCATGTCGTTACAAACCCATATAACTTTGTTTTTCCAGTAGAGCACACAAGGTGAATTTCTGAAGGATCTCAAATCAAATGTGGTGTTGTTAGATGCACCTCATCAGGTTTGACATCAGTGACATAAAGCATCATTAGTTCTCAAATGATCAATCATCACTGACGTCAAACTATTCCTTTAAAATTACCTTCACATTGAGTCATTTCTCAGCAGCTATATCTGTAGAGTAAGGTTATGTGTTCTTCAGATGTTTTTCTTGTGTAGGACACATGAAAACCTATACCCTTTAAGTGTAATAATTTCTGATGGACATTTTGAAACGGCTTTTTCCTTTAAACCATCTTAATTTTAAAATGCCTGGTATGTATATGAACAACAGTCGTATTCCAGAGCATGTTTTAAGAGTGATGTACTGTGGGCAAAACCAGGTCACCTGGTGTGAGGTTTGACAGCGTGATGTGTCACAGTGAGCGATAAGAGACAAACACATGAGGCCTGCTGTAAGAGAGATAAGATGTTGTCTCCATGATGAACTTTGACCTGACTTGTAACACTTACGTATGTATTCCTTGAATGTAAAAAAAAACAGTTTACTCAAAGTACAGAAATTGACTTAAAGTTTTTTACCAAAAATATGAGTTTGAAAGATTTTATATAAATGTTGTTTTTGTTTGTTTTGTTTGTAAAATTTGTGTGTGCCATTTATCAAAGTATTATTATTAAGACTATTTTAAATCTTATAATTTTTGAGTTTGCAATGAATGTAGTCATTGACACCATTAATCTTTTCTAACAATATGTCTTTACTATCACTTCTGTCAATTTAACACATCCTTGCTGAATAAAAGTATTCATTTCATTCAATTCTTAAAAAAAAATTGCTGATTCCAAACTTTTAACAGCTGTGTGTGTGTATGTGTGTGTATAT